TTCATGGAAAATGATTATTCCAGTTGGTCAACAGACCTTTGCAACTTCTAGCAGAAGAGGGTACAGGGAAAGAAAAGCTTCCTTTGTTCTCTCTCGTCTTGATTCTGGAGAGATGCTTCCATAGGCCTATCCACACTAAGGACTTTAAAGAGAATTATGCCAAGCATGATTGGGGGACTGACAGAAAGTGTTTCAGTGAAGGCACTGGGTGGCTTATTACTAATGTCAGATTGTCAGACTACTGTATATACTCATGTATAAGTACAGAGATTTTAGTCACAATACCAGTCCCCAAAACCTGGATTGACTTATCAATGTGTCAGTGTGAGCACTCTACCTCAATTCTTATAAGAATGAAGCTGTCACTCCTCTAAGTGGAATGGCAAAAAGTGAGATCTTAGTTCATCCCTTTTGGAGTAGGAAAATGTAGTAATTAATTTTTGCCATTGTTTTAATTTGCTTGATGCTGCATCCTTTGTTACATGCCCTTAGGTTTTATCCTCAACTTATCCATGAGTCTTATCAAAATCCATAATTTTGACCCCTAAACCTGCCTTCAACTTATACATGAGGTTGACCAGCAACAATTTTAAAATAGCCATAATTTATGCTGCTATAATATATGCAAACTGCTTCAATACTGCTAATTTGTATGTATTTTTTTAGTATCATGTATGAGCCCCCGGTGGCACAGTGGATTAAACCGCTGAGTTGCTGAATTTGCTTACCAAAAGGACGCAGGTTTGAATCCAGGGAGTGGCATGAGCTCCCTCTGTTAGCCCCAGCTTCTGCCAACCTAGCAGTTTGAAAACATGCAAATGTGAATAGATCAATAGGTACCACTCTGGTGGGAAGGTAATGACGCTCCATGCAGTCATGCCGGCTACATGACCTTGGAGTTGTCTATGGACAAAGCCGGCTCTTTGGTTTAGAAATGGAGATGAGCACCAACCCCAAGAGTCAAACACAACTGGGAAAACCTTTACCTTTACCTATGATAGACACACAGTTGTAACTTTAAAAAGAAATCCTATATGGTGCCTTCGGCGTGTTCATGCATTTACAGCGTATCTTGCAGGAGAGAGAACCAGACTGCAGAATGCCACAAATAATCTAATGTTATGCATTTCCCTTTTAGGACTTGTTGATCTCCCAAAAGAGAACTGTGAGGCGAATTATGATGCTATTACATTGCCTGAAGAGTTTCATGATTTTGAGACAAAGCTCCCTGAGGTGAAGTAAGTGCCTTTCAGGATATGGTTTTTTAGGATGCTCCTGAGACTGATAGCTTTCCACATGAACCACTAATATCCATTTGAGGAAGTGTAGATTTACTATTGCTGCCATAGTATCTATCATCATTCTTTCTTAGAAAGATTTTCAGCGATTTCTGAGGAAGGAAGCTGACAAAATGTGGTTAACAATGGGATGAAAGATTTTACATGATTTATCTGGACAGGTCTTCCTTGCTTCTGTCCTATTGTTGTTGTGTCCATCAAATAATTTCTGACATGGTGATCCTAAAGCCATTGAGCATTCTGAGGTTGAAAATGTGTGTCAATTGGTGGTTTCTAAGACTAAACGGGGAATTTAACCCGTCTCCAGACTACTACTGTAAGCTGTTAAGAATTGTGGGAGTTGAAGGCCAAATTTTGCCCATGTCTGTACTAAACCATGCTGACTCTGAACAGGCAAAATTACCTTTTTGTATCATAATACCCAGAATCCCCCAGGCAACATACCTGTTGTTGGCTTTTAAAAGCATTGGTCCTGCCATTATTCATTTTTTATGAAAATCTTTTACAATGAACTAATCTTCCAACCAAAGCACCCATCCCTATCACTTTTCTCACTCTTTTATAGCTTCCTGTGCCTCCCTCTCTTCTGTAAATTAAAAAGACATGCTAGATATTTTATTCTTTTTGTAGAGAGATAGAAGACGCAATGGAGATTGAGTTTAGAAAATAGCATTCCAAAGGAAGAATTCCCATTTATAATATTTTTACACATGCATTTTTGTGCTGGAGGGAAGCACAACAAAAGAGTCGCAGAATGTTAGACAATACAGCTGCAGTTTGAAAGAAGTGTGTCTTTGGTAGTTTTCAGATTCATTGAGAAAAAATAAATAAAAAATCTTGAGAAACATTCCTGCTGGACAATTAAAAGCAATATCAAAGAAACACAGATATCTATGAACAATAACAAAATACAAGTTGCAAAGCGTTATCAAAACAGAACTGTGTTAACACAAAGCGTGTAAATACACTGCACATGAATCACAAAACAAAACTGAATGTTACTTAGTTATCTTGCAGTCCTTGAGACAGTAAATTGTCTTCAAATACTGTCCAAATTAAGTCCAAATGGTATCCAGTTCAAAATATAATCCAAATGATGATACGACAAGGATCCCCAGGTTGAAGTTGCCTTGTTTCGGGGGGCTTCCCCTTCTTCAGGGTTTATCTTCTTTATGAAAGTGGGTGGTTCACACCATACATCCCTAAATGGGTGATAACAACAACATAATAGATATGCCAAAAAAGGCACCCAAACCAAAAACATATGAATACTAAGAATTGTCTTTTGCAAAGAGAAGCATTTTGGATTTTTAAGTTAAACAGTTTTTCCTACCGGTCTTAATGACAGACTGGACCTCAGCTGCTTTCTCTAATAAGCCCTATTACCCACCTTATCTGCTTGTAATTTACATTCCAGCTGACTGTTTGTAATTAGCCTTGTCTTTAAATTCTTGCTTCTGTGTAACTGCATTGCTCACTACTGAAGACCTTACTGTAGGGCCAGCGTCGTCTCATTTATAGCGTGAGTAATAATGTGTGTGTAGTCTATCTCACTGGAATGCACGTTATTATCACTGAATGTTTTTGGTTTGGGTGCCTTTTTTGGCATATCTATTATGTTGTTATCACCCATTTAGGGATGCATGGTGTGAACCACCCACTTTCATAAAGAAGACAAACCCTGAAGAAGGGGAAGTCCCCCGAAAGAAGGCAACCTCAACCCGGGGATCCTTGTCGTATCATCATTTGGATTATATTTTGAACTGGATACCATTTGGACTTAATTTGGACAGTATTTGAAGATAATTTACTATCTCAAGGACTGCAAGATAACTAAGTAACATTCAGTTTTGTTTTGTGATTCATGTGCAGTGTATTTACAGGCTTTGTGTTAACACAGTTCTGGTTTGATAATGCTTTGCAACTTGTATTTGGACAATTAAAAGCAAACAGAAACAGGTAGGATATGAATATAAAATATGTATCTATGTGAATTTGTACAGGTATATAGTAAATACAGATTTCTAAAATAATTATTAAAATTGAAACAACACAGTCCACCTGTAAATGTCAACATGGGACAAAGGTCCATCTAACATAAATTGTTTGTTGAAGCAAAACAGACAGATGGCCCAAAGTCTCATTAGATTCTTCAAATAAACAGAAACTATACATCTTTCAACTCAGTGACTTTATCAGTGGGAAGCACAAGAATTTCCTTGGTCACTGATGAAGGCTGTGCGTTGAAGCTATTTGCTATTTGTAATTTGGACTGTGTAGTTTTACTTGAATAAATAACTATTTTGGAGATGTATTCTATTCATTATATATCTTTACATACACACACATATGCTGCATATGTTTTATATTTATATTCTGACTCTGTTTTTCATTATTTCAATGTCCTGTCCTTTTGTCCTTTAAATAACAATGAACCTTCCCATACTGCTGAGTACTTCTCCAAGTTCCCTTCCTAGTTTGAATGCCTTCAAAAGAACAAGTACATATATGTAGTAAGGAAATAGTAAATATATACATATAAATAAATAAAATTTATTTATGGTGTATTTACATAAGTATGTATCTCATGTCCCACCTTGCTCTTTGACCAGTGATGGCATTTCCCAAACTGCTTTGAGTCTCTTCTGGAGTCCCCTTTGAGGAGACAAAGTGGGGTATAATAATAATAATATCTTGTTTGCTGTGACATACTGTGTTTTTGTGTCAGTAAAATAATAATAATAACTGTGATGATATCATGTAGCAATTGAACACCTTTTCCTAATTCAAGTAAAATAACATTTTTTTTCAGTGCCATTGATGTTGCCCAACATTTTACACTGAATCAGAGCAGAGCTGAAGACATCACGCTTATGGAAGAGGATTTTCGCCTTCTCCATAGTGACAGTTTTGGTGAGGTGGCATTTTTTTTCTTTATAAATTAAAATATAAGTTCTAATTTTATGTTTAAAGTTTTGAAGCCAAAGGGAATAAAGTTCAACACCACATGTCTTGGCTCACTGTATAAATCGCAGCTTGGGAGTGATCCTGGACTCACCGCTGAGCCTGGAACACCAGATTTTGGCAGTGGCCAGGGGAGCTTTTGCACAATTAAAACTTGTGTACCAGTTGTGCCTGCACCTTGGGAAGTCAGAGTTGGCCACGGTGGTCCACACTCTTGTTACATTGAGAATAGATTACTTCAATGCGCTCTGTGTGTGGTTGCCTTTGAAGACTGTTCAGAAACTTCAAATGGTCCAATGGGTGGCAGCCACATTGCTCACTGGAGCAGCATACAGGGAGCAATCCCCTGTTATGTCAGCTCCACTGGCTGCCAGTCTGCTTCCGAACACAATTCAAAGTGCTGGCTTTAGCCTGTAAAGAACGGCCTGCCTCAGGGGAGCATGCTTGCTCCATCCATGTTCAACATCTACACAAATGACCAGCCACTGCCAGAAGGGACAGAGAGTTTCATCTATGCCGATTATTGTGTCATTACTGCTCAAGCAGGGAGCTTTGAGATGGTAGAACAGAAGCTTTCCGAAGCTCTAGGTTCTCTTACTGCCTATTACAGGGAAAACCAGCTGATCCCCAACCCATCCAAAACACAGACATGTGCCTTTCATCTCAAGAACAGAGAAGCATCCCGAGCTCTGAAGATCACCTGGGAAGGAATCCCACTGGAGCATTGCAGCGCACCCAAATACCTGGGAGTCACTCTGGACCGTGCTCTTACCTACAAGAAGCACTGCCTGAACATCAAGCAAAAAGTGGGTGCTAGAAACAATATCATACGAAAGCTGACTGGCACAACCTGGGGATCACAACCAGATACAGTGAGGACATCTGCCCTTGCGCTGTGCTACTCTGCTGCTGAGTGTGCATGTGGAACACATCTCACCACACTAAAACAGTGGATGTGGCTCTTAATGAGACATACCGCATTATCACGGGGTGTCTGCGCCCTACACCACTGGAGAAATTACACTGCTTAGCCGGTATTGCACCACCTGACATCCGCCGGGAATAGCAGCCAATAGTGAAAGGACCAAGGCAGAGACATCTCCAGCTCATCCCTTGTTTGGGTATCAGCCAGCACGTCAACGACTTAAATCTAGAAATAGTTTTCTAAGATCTACAGAGACACTCGCTGGAACACCTCAGCAAGCGAGAGTCCAAAAGTGGCAGGCTCAAACCCAGAACCTCAATCAATGGCTGATACCAAATGAGAGACTCCCCCCTGGGCACACAGAAGACGGGGCAACTTGAAGGCGCTGAACAGACTGCGCTCTGGCACCACGAGATGCAGAGCCAACCTTCAAGAAATGGGGCCACAAAGTGGAATCCACGACATGCGAGTGTGGAGAAGAGCAAACCACTGACCACCTGCTGCAATGCAAACTGAGCCCTGCCACATGCACAATGGAGGACCTTCTTGCAGCAACACCAGAAGCACTCCAAGTGGCCAGATACTGGTCAAAGGACATTTAATCAACTACCAAACTCACAAATTTTGTATTTTGTCTGTTTGTTTTCTTTGTTCTGTTAGAAATGTAATATAATTTGACTGGTTGTCCTGACACGACAAATAAATAAATAAGCCTGTAAAGCCCTAAACGGTCCCGGCCCAGCTTACCTGTCTGAATGTATGTCCCTTTATCATCCACCTCAGAGGTTAAGATCGTCAGGGGAGGCCCTGCTCTCAGTTCCCCCCCCCCCTTCACAAGGTGACTGGTGGAGACAAGAGACAGGCCTTCTCAGTGATGGGGCCCTCTTTTATGGAACTCCCTCCCCAGTGAAATTAGATCTGCCCCATCCTCCTGACCTTCAGGAAAAAAAACTGAAAACTTGGCTCTGGGATCAGGCTTTCGGCCAGTAAAGGGGAGTAGTGCAATATTAGACTACAAATTAATACAATGACAACTTGGACCAGCCCTGGAATACAACTTGGATCATGTGATTTTAATTGATGTTTTAATGCTATGTTTTTAAAGGGTTTGGTTTTAACATTTTTGTCTATTCATCGATATATTAATATTAGGCATTTAATTGTATCTAACATTTTCCTGCATTTTGTCTTTATTTTACATTTTTAGCTGTTGATTTTTTTTTTTAAAAAAGTATATGTGTTGTTTTGTGATACTTTATTTCTCTGAAATAGCCCATAAGGGTCACGGATGAGCATCTTCTCAAGCCAAGAGTACTTTTTTCTTGCAACAATACTCAGAAGATGCAAAACAAAGCTACTTTTGTCAAGATTGACTAATCTAACAAAAAAAACAACAACTCCTAGTCTGTGAAATGGAAGGGGGGATCCATAATACAATGTCCTTCACATTTTGACCACATTTTAGGCTTCCCATTTTAAAGGGGGAAAAGACACAGTAAACATAGTCATGTATTTCTCATTGAGTTCAATAAATGTTTAACCTGTGATTTATTTATGTATTTATTTATTTACCCTATTTCAACCCCTCCTTTCTCTTCCCCAAGGAGAACTCAAGGTGATTTACATGTGGCAGTTATTCAGTGCTTTAAATACATACAACATTAAGATTATTTTAGGTTTCGCAGCTTTGTTTTAAAATTCTGACTTCTTTTAAAACTTTTTTTAAAAAAGAGATACATTTGCTAGAATAACTTTTTTAAGCTTTTGGAGAAAAATTATTTGTATTTGTCCTAAGAAATTAGCAGTAACTTTTCATATGTGTCTTCAAAGGTGATGAAACTGAAATACCAAGGCAAGGCAGCTTCTTAAATGACAGCTTACCGACTGGTTCCGGTGGTTTCTTGCTTGACCACAGTTTTTTGAGCTTTTCTGGAGACAAAACTGCATTAAATGAAGAGGCATCTGTCTTAAAGCATGATGGATTCGGAGATGAAGGGGCTGTTGAAGATATGATTGGTATGTATATAAAAAATCCTTTTATGAGCAAGCCAAACTGAAACAGATGTCACATATACATGAGCCACTTTTCAGAATTATTATTCAGACCTGGACTTTTTATTATCTACTGTCTTTATCTTGCTCTTCTGGGGTTTTAGCACAGAGTCTTAAATTCTTTAAATTCTTACATTAAAATACACATTCTTATTATTACTATTCATTTCCCATCATTTCCAAGTTTTGGGTTCAAAGCTTATGTCATTTCTCTAATAAAATACAGAGCAGCTTTAAAATCCATTTTACAAGGCCAATAATTATGCATTGGATAAACCATTATTTCGAATTTCCTTCTTTGTTTCACACAGGAATACCACTTCCTACTAATGTACTGATTAATGGCTGGGATACAAAGATCTACTCTAACCATATACACACAGCATCACTTATAAACGGAATATTCTCTTTGTCTCTAAATTAGTTGGCCATGTAACAAAGAAAGCTGCAGTTTGAGAATTGCAAGCTTGAAAGTCCTTTAGTGCTCTGCACAAGACATGTATTTATTAATCTTATCAGGAGCGAACCAGGGGTACAGTTGAAATGTATTTAAAAAAACAAATCATGTGATTTTTTAAAATCTCAGGCAAGAGAGAAACTACACAGTCTCCATGTTCTCTGGCATTGAATTTATTAGTGGTAAAGACACGGCTAGTCCCATATTCAGCAGACGTACACTTGTGTAAATATCCTTCATGTGAGATGTGGGGGTGTTGGCCTGACGGGAATCTTCTTCCAGCCCAATTTGAGTGACTGTATCTAGTTCTTGGAGAAGCTCTGTGTGCTCAGAGATAGTTGTTTGTACCTCAATCATGGAAGAGGGTATTGCTCCACAGCCCCCTTTATGTGTTTGAACACATGCAGGTTATGCATCAGGATCATCCTGGTAACTTCCCAGGAATATACACACACCATTCAATGGTGAGTGGTAGGAACAACAGGAAAACAAAGACTAGTGGCTTATATCAATATGTGAACATATCTGTATGCATAACAATGGGGGAACCCACAGATGCTGCAATCACTCGTTTAAAAGTAGCATTATCTGCCTTAGGGCAAGCACTCAAGAATAAACGGTGCAAAATTTCAAGGCAGGGGTGTTATTTGGATAGCATAGTTCCATCTGGTACCATTCTAGCTCCTCCTCATCCCACCCACTAAAAACCTAACCTCACAAACATTAAACCATGAGAGCTGATGGTTGAATCCGAAACACAAGAATGGTGAAATACTTCCTTCCAGATCTGCCATTCTATATTAAAAATTTGGGTTAAAGACACAGAATTAAACTCTGTCCCATTTGTTCTACAATTGTGGGTGGGTGGGGGGGTCGGGGGGGGGGTATTCAGTTTTGTAAACTGCCCTGAGTCACCCTCGGGCTGAGAATGTGGTATAGAAATATAGTAAGTAAGTAAATAAATAAATCAATTCCAAAAACATTATGTATAATGTTAATTTATGTTATCTTAAGACAGTGTGCTTGGAGGAGAGCAGCATAGCCTCATTGAACTCTTTGGCCCAGAGGAAGAAATTCCTTTAATCCCAAAACCTACAACTGATGATATAGCAGGTGAGCTTGTAATTAATTTGGTGTAGCAGCAGAAAGCTTTGGCAAAGAAAAAGAAAGATATTGTTAACTACAACTCCCAGGATTCCATAGCATTGAGTTATAGCCAGAGTTCTACAGTGAAAGCTGTAATGGAAAAGCAGGTCTCTATTTAAGCGAGATTAAGCAGAGGCAACACCGGGATATGTGAGGGATACTGATGTCCCAACCCGCACTGTTGAAATTGCAATGAATAAGGGCTTGGGCTAGAATTATCTCCAAGGTCCCTTTTAGCATTATCTTTCCAAGAAACCACACACTCAGGCATTATCCACCAGCTGTTTCAGGCTGGAACCTCTAATTCTTCCTCCTTTCAAAGCGAGGCTCTTGCCCTAAACTGCCAAATATTCATATGCCACATTTCTGCCCTAAGCCCATCAGAGTTTGAAGTAAAATAGTGGCTTCATGTCTCTCTCCTCATGTTAATTAACAATGATAGCTGTTATGAATGTTCACTTTTCTTAAACCATTATCAATCTGTTAGCTAAAAGTTTCAGAATGTAGACCAGAGAAATCTCTTTGTCTGTCACACTCAGTGCCAATTATTTTAATTCATGAAAGAACAAAGAATATATATTTTTACAGCACAGAATATATTTTTACAGCATTGTGGATTGGTGTTTTATAGATCATTCAATACCTGACCAGGAAACTAGAAGTCCCCAAGTAAATGAAACAACACTGTTTTCCAATGAAGAAGAAGGCTTTGTGCTTGAACCAATTGATGAAACAGGTTAGATTGACTAAATGTTTCTTCTGGGGTGGTAGGAGGACTATAACAGTGTTGCATTATTACTATATATATACACACACACACACACACACACACACACACACTTACTTTTCTCTCCTAAAAGAGAATGTACAATGTAAAACTCGTCTAATAACAAATACAAAAAATTGCTTTGTTTTTAGTACTTTCCAACACAAATTGTCTCTTTCTTATTTCTTAGTAATTCTTATAGATGACTTTACATTTGCCTGAAAAGTTGATATTTATATTGTGGCAGAAATTTCAGAAAACCTGAACAAAAAACACAGACATTTTATCACATTAGTTCTCCTGGAAAGTTGCAAACAGTCCCCAGTTTCAACCACCTTCTGTGTAGAAGCTTCTTTTACACAAAAAGAAACACACAGAAAATATTGGGTCAATGTTGTCCCATAAAATCTATTGTGTTGTTTTGGTTACTTTTTCCCTCACACAATAAGGGATGACAGTTATGCAAAATGCACTTTTCATCTCACTTGGGAAAATGCTTTCTGATTCTAGTGATATTATTAGTCAGAGTAGTTGGATATTGTGGAATACCTTCAGTTTTGCATTTACAAACATGTCGATAGACATGGGCTATTTTTATACAATGCAATCCATTGGCTTTTTCATTGGAATCAGAGGGCGTCTCAGACTGAAACTTTTTTATTTCCATGTACTAATTTATTTCCGATACCAAAGCTTTGTTAGCATTACAAACATAATTGCAAAACTCCTCCAAAAATGCCGAAAATGTGAATTTTTTTTACCTGAGATAAAAAATTTCTAAAAATCTCCATGTCCTCCAGTGCAACTCTGTGGTTAACTTCTGCCAGAATTGATAATCGAGTTTCACTGAAAATTCCTAAATAGACTAATATCCAGATTTGCAAATAATCAAATCCGTAAAACTTAAACCTACAAAAATGTGAAAGACCAACTGTGCAAGCTACAAGGAACAAAGCTGAGTTTATCATACCCTTAGAGTTCATTGGGTTGGTTGGTAATATGTCACTTGAATGTTCCTTGTATTTAGGTCTCAAAAGGAAGCAAAGAAGTAAAAGAAAAAGGAAGTTGCTTGTTGATGCGGTGAAAGGGTTAAGCAGAAATACTATAGCAAACCAGCTTATGTGCTACAAGGACACTGTAACTACATTGGATATTGCACCTCCAACAAGGAAACTGATGATTTTACAGGAGCGGGGTGGTGTGAATAAACTCCTGGAAAGATCTACTCAGTCTTTAATTCACGAACATTTGCTAATGGTAACAATTTGTGACTATTAGTAGGTTATTTCATATTTGCTGTTTAGCCCATGGAAACGTCATCATGAGAATTGTAGTGTTACGAGACTTTTAGCATCTTCTTGTGTCTTACCAAACTACAATGCCCAGGATTCCACAGCATTTAGCCATGGCAGTTAAAGTGGTATCAAGTGCCATTAATTCTTCAGTGTAGATGCACCCTTCAGCAAATGTAAGCGATTGTAGTTTCCCCAAACTCATCTGTTTTTCCCTCATCAATAACTTCTGCCATCTTGAGCACACTCAAATGGTGTTTGGTGACATGGGTCCCAGTTTTCATCTGTGAAATGTCAGAAAGCATGGTCCAGAGTGGAGAAACAAATCTGTTAATTGGCCTGAAATTGCATGATCCCTGTAATTATCCCCACAGCATACTGTATGATAATGTTGGCATTCATAATAATGTTGTCATTGCTTATACTCTTGGGATACCAATAGCAATTCCATGAAAACTTGCTTTTTCAATAGATAAATTTCTGAAATCAATATGTTCCCTGTTAATGCTACTCATTTTACAGATCATTCCGTTTTGCAAAAGCTAAAGTCTATAGACTTGCTATGTGGATTACTGTTTACATGGATTTGCCAAGAAAAGAAATACATAGTTTGGGGCTCCAATTTGAAATACATGAGAACTACATACCAAGCCAATAAACTATATTCTTTAGGTCCCAAAGTTTGGCCATATATGAGGGGTGTCAGACATTTTCCTCTTCTGAACTTTTTATTTAGTGAGTAGCATGAAATTCATATTCCAGAATTGCATAAAATGTCCGTGTTCTTACAGCTATTTACAAGAAGTTTCAGGAATGGAAGAAAAAGTTTGCAGCAAGAAGCTGAAGTAGAAGAAAGAAGCAAAGAACAATATATCAAAGGTGGGATTCTTGAATTTTGTACATCAAAATTCTCAAGAAAAAAAGTCCAATTTTTCTCTTTCAAAAATGGGACTTTTTACTTTGATTTTTCAGTCTTCCATTTCAATAAGAGTATCCATGCAGAATAACGTTCATATCTTATATCCAGTAATGTTATGCTTGTGGTGGCCTGTAGTCTAGAAGATACATATTGGAACAGTTCACAAGGTATAAAAAGTAAAGGTAAAGGTTTCCCCTTGACATTAAGTATAGTTGTGTCTGACTCTGGGGGGTGGTGCTCATCTCCATTTCTAAGCTGAAGAGCCGGCATTGTCTGTAGACGCTTCCAAGGTCATGTGGCCAGCATGACTGCATGGAATGCCATTACAAAGTATATGTGTGTTTTATAATGTAAATCCCTTGGGAAAGGACAAATTTGCAAAAGCTCTTTGACTGGTACCTGCATTTCATTAGTATGGTAATAAATAGTGCTCTGGACAAGATGTTAATAGCCATTTTCTTTTGTGAATTCATTTTATTGTCAGTGCAGAATCAACAGCAGAAGTTTCAAATAATTTGCAGGACTTGGTTCACCTGGAAATTCAACCAGTTTTGGAAAACGGGGGAGATGAAAGAAGTAATGCTATAAATTTTGAAACTACAGTAAGTATTTTCAAAACAAATTGATATTGCTATGCTAAGACAATGTACAGGAGTGTTTCCATTGAGACCCTCATAGAGTATCATAACAGGTTCATCTACTTAATTGTATTTCCAGATAAGAGATGAAATGGGATTATAAGAGGAACTTATTTTAAAATTGCATTACAAGAGTGATATATTTTATGATGATTTTTACTGAAAATATTCACAACCACCATGAAAATATGCATGACCACCATGTCAGACTACACAGAGAAGCCATTGAAATCCACAAGCATGTGGACAATTTCAACAGAAAGGAAGAAACCATGAAAATGAACAAAATCTGGCTACCAGTATTAAAAAACTCAAAAATTACAACAGCAAAACAACAGAGGGGAAACAAACAGGCACATAAAATCACTCTCAACAAAAGATTCCCCCCAGGCACGTCCAAGCCATTGAATGCTAATCAAGGTGATCAGCTGAAACATTCACACCTAGCCCCAGCAGACAAAAGTCATTTGTCACCCTGGTAATTCCACAGATATATAAACCCATTTTTCCTACTTCCAACAGACCTCACTACCTCTGAGGATGCTTGCCATAGATGCAGGCGAAACGTCAGGAGAGAATGCCTCTAGAACATGGCCTACAACAACCCAAATATTTATTTATTTAATTAATTGCATTATTTCTACCCCGCTCATATCAGCCCAGAGGCAACTCAGAGCGGCGTAATTATTTTTATAATTATTTTTATAATGATATACTAACCTATAACTGCTATCCTGTTCTTACAAGAAAAGCAAATAGATTCCATAGTTAAACTTCTGCATCTCTCATTTGAGCAATGCGCTGGTCTTTAAAGGCTTTTGGGTGCATACAGAAAAGTGCTGTGTACCTCTAATTATGCATCTGCTGCTGAGTAAGGAACATATGGGCAACTCTTAACAGAATCACAATTAAATTCTGTTTGCTAATACACTCTTTTTCTCTCCTCACCCTATTAGGAAACTGTTGAAATCATGTCTGGTTTGTCCAATGGTTCTTTCACGGACTCCTCTGTAAGACAACAAACTGAGATGAAGCAAACTACTCTTGAGCATGTAGGTTTGATTATTTATTCCAAACACAATTTATACAAAATTATTAGACATTGCTTTTAAACCGCTTCCCAGGTGTGGGAATAACATGTTACAGTTGGTACCGCGAGCTGACAGAAAATAATCCCTGACAACAAAAATGTCATTTGGGTTCCTTTTTTGTTTTGTTAAGCAATACAACAAATACTACAATATTCTGAGGAGCAAAATCTGAACTGTGAAAAGGGGTTATTTACACACACACACCCCAAATAGCATTTCCAAATGAAAACCCTGCTTACTCCTCTCAAAAACCTATAAATAAAAGAAACCTTGTTTGGTAGAATGGAAGAGGTGCTAAAGGAAGTGTCATAAATATTCTGTTAAGACACAACAATATCTAACCAGCAGTATCTCTTGTTTTTATCAGATCCCATAGAGCTATTTCATAGACAAAGTACATTGAAAACTATCTATAAATGGTATTACTACCTGCCCAAGATTAAATCTTGAGGCCCTGAGCAATACAGAAAATGAGCAGCAAATTTCTGGACCACCTGTTAGTCATATTATGCTTGGAGAGACTGAAATAACTCTCAATTTAACCTTTGATTGGGCAGATATGAATAATTTCCTATGCTAAACTTCAATATAGGAATCTGAAGAGATTAACACAGAAAATGAAGAAAAAAAGAGGCAGAAGAGGACTCTATTGCTTTTGGATACTTTGCGGGTAAGCTGCCCTGAGATTTTTTTAAAATGCTGTCTCTGCTTTTAAATGGGGTGTGCGTTCTGTATGAGTACTCTTCTTTGATGGCAGTAAATCATGTATTTATTTATTTATCGTGTCAGGAGCAACCAGACATTTGTATTACATTTTTAACAAAAACAAACAGACAAAACACAGAATTTGTGAGTTTGGTAGTTGATTAAATGTCCTTTGACCAGTATCTGGCCACTTGGAGTGCTTCTGGTGTTGCCGCAAGGAGGTCCTCCATTGTGCATGTGGCAGGGCTCAGGTTGCATTGCAGCAGGTGGTCAGTGGTTTGCTCTTCTCCACACTCGCATGTTGTGGATTCCACTTTGTGGCCCCATTTCTTGAGGTTGGCTCTGCATCTCGTGGTGCCAGAGCGCAGTCTGTTCAGTGCCTTCCAAGTCGCCCAGTTTTCTGTGTGCCCAGGGGGGAGTCTCTCATTTGGTATCAGCCATGGATTGAGGTTCTGGGTTTGAGCCTGCCACTTTTGGACTCTCGCTTGCTGAGGTGTTCCAGCGAGTGTCTCTGTAGATCTTAGAAAACTATTTCTTGATTTAAGTCATTGACGTGCGGGCTGATACCCAAACAAGGGATGGGCTGGAGATGTCTCTGCCTTGGTCCTTTCACTATTGGCTGCTACTTCCCGGCGGATGTCAGGTGGTGCAATACCGGCTAAACAGTGTAATTTCTCCAGTGGTGTGGGCGCAGACACCCTGTGATAATGCGGCATGTCTCATTAAGAGCCACATCCACTGTTTTAGTGTGGTGAGATGTGTTCCACACTGGGCATGCGTACCAGCAGCAGAGTAGCATAGCGCAAGGGCAGATGTCTTCACTGTGTCTGGTTGTGACCCCAGGTTGTGCCAGTCAGCTTTCGTATGATATTGTAAATAAATCAGGTATACTTGAAAATAAAGAATCCACATTTTATCATAAGGTGAAAATGCAAAAATGTCCTGTTGGTAGCATTTTGCCTCTACTGCTCTTCTGATGCACAACACCCTATTGATCCTAAGAGGCATATGCAGCCTTGAAATGTAAGCCAAGTATCTTACAGAACTGAGGCGTCTGGACTGGTGGTGCTAGAGAAAAGTTGTGTACAGATTAGAATCTTTGTCTGTTATAGTGATGCTAATGATGAGGGTGCAAAGGGTCAGGATAGGCTGTAAATGTAGAAGGATTTAATCATGATGCAACTGGAAGGAGCTGTTGGTATCATGCCCTACTTGTGGGTTTTCCAAAGCCAACTGTTGTTAAAACAAGCTTGTAAAACTAGATCGGTCCAACTGAGCTTTTCTTGTAGATTTCTGATCTTTTTATCTCATCCCAATAAACATTGGTCCAAAGGAAATGCTGAACAAGCCAGCCTCTCATGTAATGGCTTATTGTTATCATCCTAATCTCTTCAGCCTAATTTTCTCATTTTGTTCCCATGTGCAGCATATTGACCAGACAGCAGGAGCAAAGTCTTTCAGCCTTCTGGCTCTCTGCAAAGAGAATAACAGTAAAGAAGTTGCAAGCAAGTTCTACAGTCTCCTTGAGCTAAAGAAACACCAAGCTGTTGATATGGCCCAGGCTGCTCCCTATGCTGACATTATAGTGACCAAGGGTCCAATGTTCCATACTCTCTAAAAGATGGACTGTTCTCCACTGCATTGTAGGCTGCTCTAAAGGATACCGAACTCTTCTGTTTTAAAAACATTCTGGAGTGAAATCTTTTATTTACATCTCTTGTGTTAATTATATACTAACTCCTGTTAATAGGTCTGTAGATGTAATGCCTTAAGAACAGGACCAAATAACTCACATATATTTTAACAGTATAAAAATTTGCTTAACAAACTTCTCTATAATTCAAGTTGCAAGTTAGGAGAAATGCTTATTTTTGAGAAGTGTTCGACTATAATGTTTTGTGTTGGCTACCTCTTTTTTCCTGCTTTTCAGAAAGAAACTAATTTGGCTTATTTTGAGCAATGTTTTTAATGCATTGTTCATATACTTATCTAACATAGTCTGATATGAAAAGGTAGACATCAGCATCTGTAAAGCAAACATCTGTAAATCTTGAAAACTTGTAGTCTTGAACTGACTTTTTTACTGTAGTAACAATATTCGTGTTTTGTCTGGATGGTGCATAGTGCAGAGATTAGGTCAGGCATAGGCAAACTTTGGCCCTCCAGGTGTTTTGGACTTACCAGCTGTTAAGAATTATGGGAGTTAAAATCCAAAACACCTGGAGGGTCGAAGTTCATCCATGCATGGATTAGATGCATTTTACCAAGCATAACTTGTTTCCTACAACCCCAGATGTTGATCCATGTCTGCCCAACCTCTGCAATAGCTGTGCATTGATAGCATGAGAATGTGTCAAGGGAAAGTGTTACTGTTTCTTCGTTCAACCCCTGATTGGGTGGCAGAGAGCTTGAAAAATATGAAATATAAACTACTATCCAGTACATTGAAAGACTTGTGGAGACAGATAATGTTTTCCAGCAAGCTGAATGGTGTAGAGCCATTATTGATTATAGTGTAAACTCTCATTTCATTTTCTCTCTTCTGGTGTCTTTGTTCTGATAGCATTTGTATATTTTTGAAGCACTTAAAACAATAGAAAAAATATATTTGAACAAAGATAATATTGGACCAGAAAAACTAAAATGACATACAAGTGAAACTAAAATTAGTCTCTGATTTTAGGTTCATTTTTTAAAATAGTATTATAATGGGTTAAATTATGTGTTCTATTTAAAATGCAAAGTTAAATGCAATGTTCTATTTGTTTTTACTTCTTCCTTTTTCTAAGATTTTCCCACATATTTATTTAATTAAAAGAATATGTTTTTAATCCAAGAAGCCTTTAGAATTGTTTCTTATTATTAAGTAAACATTGACTCAGCTTTTTACATGTAACTTGGACAGATGAATATTTAAATGATGGGTGGATTATATTTTGGGGACTGAGAGCTGCATTGATTTCTATGGAAGCCTTGAGGTTGTATATTGTCAAGGGTTCATAGAATCAAAGAATTGGAAGAGACCTCATGGGCCATCCAGTCCAACCCCTTGCCAAGAAGCAGGAATATTGCATTCAAATCACCCCTGACAGATGGCCATCCAGCCTCTGTTTAAAAGCTTCCAAAGAAGGAGCCTCCACCACACTCCGGGGCAGAGAGTTCCACTGCTGAACGGCTCTCACAGTCAGGAAGTTCTTCCTCATGTTCAGATGGAATCTCCTTTCTTGTAGTTTGAAGCCATTGTTCTGCGTCCTAGTCTCCAGGGAAGCAGAAAACAAACTTGCTCCCTCCTCCCTGTGACTTCCTCTCACATATTTATACATGGCTATCATATCTCCTCTCAGCCTTCTCTTCTTCAGGCTAAACATGCCCAGCTCTTTCACTCCTCATAGGGCTTGTTCTCCAGACCCTTGATCATTTTAGTCGCCCTCCTCTGGACACATTCCAGTTTGTCAACATCTCTCTTGAATTGTGGTGCCCAGAATTGGACACAATATTCCAGGTGTGGTCTAACCAAAGCAGAATAGAGGGGTAGCATTACTTCCCTAGATCTAGACACTATGCTCCTCTTGATGCAGGCCAAAATCCCATTGGCTTTTTTTTGCCACCACATCACATTGTTGGCTCATGTTTAACTTGTTGTCCACGAGGACTCCAAGATCTTTTTCACACGTACTGCTCTCGAGCCAGGCATTGTCCCCCATTCTGTATCTTTGCATTTCATTTTTTCTGCCTAAGTGGAGTATCTTGCATTTGTCACTGTTGAACTTCATTTTGTTAGTTTTGGCCCATCTCTCTAATCCAGGGGTCCACAAACTTTTTAAGCAGAGGGCCAGGTCACAGTCCCTCAAACTGTTGGAGGGCCGGATTATAATTTGAAAAATAAAACATGAATTCCTGTGCACGCTGCACATATCTTATTTGTAGTGTAAAAACACTTAAAAACAATAAAATAATTAAAATGAGGAACAATGTTAACAAATATAAACTTATTAGTATTTCAATGGGAAATGTGGGCCTGCTTTTGGCTGATGAGATAGGATTGTTGTTGTTGTTGTTGTTGTTGTTGTGTGCTTTCAAGTTGTTTCAGACTTAGGTTGACCCTGAGCGAGGGCCGGGTAAATGACCTTGGACGGCCGCATCCGGCCTCCAGGCCTTAGTTTGAGGACCCCTGCTCTAATCTGTCAAGATTGTTTTGAATCCTGCTCCTGTCCTCTGGAGTATTGGCTATCCCTCCCAATTTGGTGTCGTCTGCAAACTTGATGATCATAGGGAACAATAGATGGAGGAAGGATCTGCAACACCAATGATTTCTCTCTTATGCACACACACATATTCATACCCAAGGATCTTGAATAAACCACGAGAAGCAAATAATAAACCCCTCCTTCCTTTGGGGCCTGACAGTTGTGACACTGTTCATTTGTTTGTTTCATATTTGCAAGTTTCCTTCCTGGACCAAGTCTACCCAACAAAATGTGTTTGTATTTTCATTTCATTCCTTTTTGAGCTTATTCAGGAGATATTCGTGGTTGTTATGGCTTTGCACTGAACAGACCTACAAATTCATAACAAATGTTTCCACTAAATATCTTAACAGACAGAAGAAACTGTCATCTAAATGTCAAGAAGACTCAAACTAATAAAGAAACAGAACACTGTGTAACTAAAAAGAGTGGCGACATGTAAAATATGGCATCCTGCTGGTAATTAACTATTTCAATGATTGAGCCAACACGGTATTGTGGCTTGAGCATAGAACTATGACTGGATGGACATGGAAACCCACCAGGTGATTTTGGCCACTTTAGCTGCCATGGCTCAATGCTACAGAAGGATAATAGTTGTAGTTTTGCAAGCTTTTTCTGACAAATAGTGCATCTAACTGCAAATCCAGGGATTATGTAACATTGAGCCATGGCAATTAAAATAACGTCAAAATGCATTCATTCTACAGTGTAGATGCACCCTTAATGTCCAAACTGGATCAATAACGAAGCAAAGTCACTCCGCCCAATTAACTGGCCCATATAACTGGTACATCAACACAAACCCCTGCAGCACAATTCTGTAGTGGATGTTGGCCATTGAGCCACACTGATGGACCTAGAGGTTCCTAAAGAGAAAATTAAGTACATATGTGAAAACAAATCCACAAAAGTGAAATCCGCAAATGTGGAAGGCCCACTATACATGTCTTTATTTCTCTGTCATGTGTTCATATTGTCGTACCTCAGAATAGGTTCATTTTGCTGAAAACAAACTGCACACAGCCAGAAGTCTTTATGGTTTATTAAAAAGTAAAAGAAAAAGTTCTTAAAAGCAAAAGTAAAGATCAATACAAAATAACACTTGGAAGCATGATCCAAAAAGGCACTAGCAAGGTAAAATCCCATGAGAACACGACTGAGTCCTGAGACCATGAACACAAGAACTGCAAGATAAATCCAGACAAGCAAAATGCAAACTTCTTGGTTAACGTAAAGTTGCTCTGACAAAGGTTTGGTCCCAACCACACTGCTTAATACCCTTTGCAAAACATGAAGGCGTTTCTTTGGCCTCTGACCTCCTTCTTGTTAGCTATTCTCACACTCCTTCGAACTCTGAATTCCAAACAGCACGATCTAAGGTTCCCGTTTCGTCAAGATCAGTCTGTTCGTTAGTGTTATCCAGTTTGCCTTCCTGTTCATTATCAGGCTGAGAACTGCCCTCCTTTTCTGAGTCAATTTGCACTTCCATCTGGCTAGTTTCAGTATCAACAAACTCATTCCTTGCTGTGGGAAACTGAACTTCCACAGCCTGTTCCTCATTGACTATAACAGGGACATTTTGAACCATCATCCTCATCAGAGGCACTCTGTGGTTCCAGTTGAGTCACAACACATATTCTGCTTGGAGTTGTGTGTTTGATTATGGAAAGTTAAACGCATAGTAGGCAAAAGATCCATGTGTGAATGAGATACACCAAAACATGACACTGAAAACTAGGAAAGTCAAAGTGTTCCATAGGAAATTATTTCACTAACCAACAGGTTTGGGATAGAAACTAGACACTTGAAATTTACTTACTCTCTTCGTTAATGACATATTTTTCAAATATACACAAACACGCAGCTCCAAGTTGGTAATGAAGATGAAAGGCTGCTCAAATAGATCAGAAACAATGTAAAGGAAGACAGCACAGTGTGAGAGATAGACAAATATCACCCTGTGACACATCGGTGTGAAGGAGAAAAATGAGCATCAGTGTGAAACAGGAGATGGGAAACCAGCAGGAGGGTAGCTGCTGGCAAAGAGGGGGGGGGGTGCCCTTGAACTCAGCAATAACCAGAATAATAGAGAAGCTGAAACACTGATAGATGTACTGGAGGAGAGCACAGAAAAAATGTACACGCTGGCCCATTCTCACAACCCCATTTTGTTTCTCTCTTTTGCAGGATTCCTTGCATGATCTTTTGCACAATGGGTTAAACCCTTGTTCTGGCAGGACTGAAGACCGACAGGTCATAGCCAAGAGCAATAATGTGACCCACACGTTCTTGTGAAATGCCTTTATGCTTGAAATTTCTCTCTGAGTGATACGACAATCATCCTGAATCAATCTGTCAACCTTTTGCTTGTGAAACTCGGTGGTTGCTGTCACAGGACGTCCAACTCT